ACAGAATACTTTGTTCACAAAATTAAAAAGTGAGAATAGGTACATTCCATGTGGCTCAACTGTTATCAAAATAAGAAGAATAATTTACCCCGAGTTAATTACATTTTGTTTAACAACAAGGACTGAAGAAGCAGTTAAAGAGGAAACAAACTGCTCCAAGAAAATTACCACTTTGGCAAGAAGAAGAGGAGGAGGAGGAGGAAGAAAAAGAAGGATGATGATGATGATGATGATGATGATGATGATGATAAGAAGAAGAGGAAGAAGAAGAAGAAGAAGAAGAAGAAGAGGAGGAGGAGGAGGAGGAGGAGGAGGAGGAGGAGGAGGAAGAAGACGAAGAAGAAGAAGAAGAAGAAGAAGAAGAAGAAGAAGAAGAAGAAGAAGAAGAAGAAGAAGAAGAAGAAATTCTTGCAAGTCCCTGAGAATTGGAGGCAGGTCAACAGTCAGTTAAGAGCAAGGCAGATAGATCACGTGGTATAGTTTTTCTCTGGCTCAGGATGAGTCCACAGATCTTGCTATTTATCTTAGGAGGCAATATCCATTCTGCAGGAACCAGAATGGATGTCTGTGCACTATCTCTGTGGAACAGACAGACCTGGCTGCAAAGATCTCCAAGATGCTGAGAAAGAACCAGAGCAGAGGGACTCTCTGAAGATGTTCTATCAGTTACTTTTCTTGTTGGCATGACAAAATACCTAATGAAAACAGCTTAAGGGAGGAGAATGGGATTATTTGGGGCCGGAGTTTGAAAGTACAGTGGGGGAAGGCATGGCAGCAGGAGAGTGAGGCAGCTGGTCACACTGGTTCACAGTGTGAGCACAGCTGAGAGGTGAACGCTGGTGCTCACTCACTGTCTCCTTTTTCAGCAGTCTGGGAGCCCAGCCCATGTGATGTCACCACCCACATTTTTAAAATTAGTTTTGTTGAGACCTAGAGCCTGAACGCTTGACTTACCCCATTGTTCAGGAGTGTAAGAACTTAGCCTCAGTCAGTATTTTGAGTAAGTTTTTTTGTGGTCAGAGATGAGAATAAAAACTGTTCCCTGTCACCATAAGTGAATCCTTAGTGGCTTTGAACATTAGCTTTGCTACCAAGTCCATAGTAGTCTTTAAGAAACTTACAGTATAACTGAGGAAAATGACCCTCACAGGTAAACTTCTACTATGTTAAAGTAATATTGCTTAAACAACAAGTGATGATTAACTTTTTAAACTTTCTTTCTCTGGGCCATCACAAGTTACAATTTGGAGCTGCAGACACTCTATTTCACACACACACACTCACAGTGATCATAGTGATTGTGTTTCCTGAACACAAATTGCAGACCCAATAATATGACCTGGACTTTGATGTGAAGAGAAAAGAATTTTCATATTTCAAAATTCATTTAACTAGATTATTTAACAAGCAGCTTTCATATAATTTTCAGTTGGAAATGATTAATTGAAAAGCAGATATCACGGTGCTGGAGAGGTGGCTCACCATATAAGAATGCTTAATGCTCTTGAAGAGAACCCTAACTTGGTTTCCAGCACCCACACCAGGCAGCTCACACTGCCTCTAACTTCAGCTCCAAGGAACCTGACACCTTTGAGCCTCTGGGTACCTGTACACATCTGGCAAGTAAAGCTCATGCAGACAGGTACATGCATAAAAACAAATCAACACACTTTTTAAACAAGCAAACATCAAAAGAAAACTCTGGTAAAATTGTATATAAATGCCTAGCAAACATGAGCATGCTTAATTAAAATAGTATAGGTGTGAACAGACAACAGTGTTTGGCAGTATCTATTTATGTAAAAAGGCTTTTAGCAACATGAAACAAAACCCCACTCCCACCAGCATCAACAATCAAATGTTTATCATAAATCTTGAATAACGGAAAACACTGGTGAGGCCAAATATTTTCTTTCTCCAATATTCCATTCTTCCCTTGTAGATTTGTGTTAAAAATGTTACTCAGTTATTAGTATATTTAGAGTTCAACCAGTAACATTAACAAAAAAAAGTTAGCCCGGTGTGGTGGTGCACGCCTTTAATCCCAGCACTTAGGAGGCAGAGGCAGATAGATGTCTGTGAGTTGGAGATCAGCCTGGTCTACAAGAGCTAGTTCCAGGACAGCCTCCAAAGCCACAGAGAAACCCTGTCTCGAAAAACAAACAACAAAAAAGTGTGTGTGTATCTGAAGAGGCCAGAAGAGGGCAGCAGATCTCAGCAGATCTCCCTGGGACTGGAGTCAGAGATGGTGACAAGCCCCCATGTGGGTTCCAGGAATGAAACTTGGATACTCTGGAAGAGCAAATAAAGTACTTATAATCACCTAGCCATCTCTCCAGCCTCACTAATAACATTTTTGTGCCTGTTTTTATTCTCTTTAATAACTAATCCTGCCATTTGGCTGAAAGACATTAAATCTTTTCTACCTGGCCCTTCACTGAAAATGGTTGCTGATCCCTGGTCTAAGCCCCACATAGCCAGTGTTGGGCCACTTAGGCACATTTGTCTTGTGCCATTCTTCTCCACACTTCCAATTTCTGACATTCCACGACCTGGCTCCACAGGCCCTTTGCACTCGCCATTCTCTGTTGGCTGAAATCTCTTTTGTTCTTTCCTATATGTCCCACTGATCCTGGTGAACTCATCATAACTCAGTTCAAAGGACAGCTTCTTCTGGGACATGTTCTTGGCTACATTGTCTGCTACAAGTACTCTGCAACTGGATAACTTTCTTTAACATTTTTTTTCATGCTAGAATGTAAGCCCCATGATATAAAAGTGACACCTTGTTAAAATTGGAAGCATCTAAGACCAAGGGCTGGGTAAGGCTGATAGTGATGCCAATCACATATTTATTAAATGGATAAGATGAATGACCCAAAAAACAAAGCTGCATTATCTTTTGGGCTGTAAATTTGTCTTGCTATTTGTTCTGCTAATGCTTTTCCACACCTTGAAAATGTCCCCTGCTTCAATGGAGTGCCACATTTCACTCTCTGTATTGACCACGCTGTGTAAGCCCTGCCCCTCAGCCTCCTTGAACAAAACCATACTTTCTCCATGACTGGGAATAATGATCTGAACACACTTTACCTCAAATCTGTGGGCTCCATCTCCACAATGGGGCAAGGGTCGTGAAGACCTGCTTCCTTATAGCCCAGCTGTGGCATCTCTTGTAAAGAATGTGGCATCTGTTTTTTGTTTGTTTGTTTTTCGTTTTGTTTATTTTTTATTTTTTTAGGGCGGGAAGGAGGAGTCCAGGAGGAGAGATCAAGAAAGAAAAAACACTGTCAACAAGAAAACTAGAGAACAAAATGTTTTCTCTCTTTTTAAATTTTTCATGCATTTGATTTTGGGTGTGACTGATGTGGGAAGTAATTCCCATCACCCATTTGGTCCTGGCTCCTGAGTGCTGCCCTAGGTCTGGAAGTAGTGGCTGTAGTCTCTGGCTCTCCAGTTAGGAGCTGTAAGCAGAGGACTGGTGGCTGTTAGGATGCTGACATACTAGGCCTGTTTTCAGCATCATCAAAGCTAAAGCCCAGACTCTCCCAGTCCATCTAGGGAAAGGCTCTGGAACACAGGTCTGCAGCTGACATGGCCTCTTTACTGATGCATTGGTTGCTTTTGTTTGGCTGCAGAGTTTGGGATTAATTGACGCATTGGCTACCTTGTTTTGGTTGCAGGGTTTGGGATTACTGATGCATTGGCTACTTTGTTTTGGTTGTAGAGCTTTCAATTACTGATGCATTGGTTACCTTGTTTTGGTTGCAGTTTGGGATCAGCCTCTTTAAAGAAACCCTGGAAGCCGAGGATTTGGGAGCATCTGTAAATGGGCAAACAGGTCTCTCCACATACTGTAGTGAAATGACACACATCAGCCATTGGCACAGGACTCCTGCTAACCTGTGTGCTGAACAAGTATTAGCTATTGTTATCACAGAGGCATTTGTGTGTGCATATGTGTGTATGTGGTTTGTATGCATGTGTGGGACCTGGGTATCCTTCCATACTTGAAGAAACAGGGTCTCTTACTGGCCTAGCACTCACCAAATAGGCTAGAGTGGCTGACCAGTGAGGCCCAGGGATTTGCCCATCTCAGTGCTGGGATTGTAAGTGTGTGCTGCCACGCCCAGCTGGCTACTTTATGTGGATTCTGGGGACTGAATGCAGTGCTTTGTTGACTATATCTCTCTGTTATTACAAAGCAATTTCATGAGGACCTCCATCACAGCCTTTCTTCACAGAATAGAAAAGACTGGAGCAGTCATAAATTGGAAAAAAAAAGTTAATATTGTCTTCACAGCAGTCACACTATCTCCTCCCCTGAGACTGTGCTAAGTTAGGCAAAACAGACAGAAGTGGAGCTAAGCTAAATTATCTATGCTTGTACTACTCTCAGATGATGCTGATGATGGTCCTAGCATGTCAGCATCCCAGCGGTTCCCAGATTGAAAACAAAACAAAAGCACACAGTAAGAACATGGCTGCCATGGAGACAGCTGCTTCCAGGAAAAAAAGGAGCCAGAAGCCCTCACTGACATGCAAGGATACTCTGGTTTTTATTTCTTTATTCAGTCTAATTCTCTTTTAAATAAATATTTTGTTAATAATAGCTCCAACTGTTGCATATAAATGGAGTGAATGACTCACTGTCTCATTAGGCATAGCTTGCATTCTCAGTTTTCACTAAGCCTTTAATTTTTCTCAGGGGATAGTGTTTGGGGAAGCTCGTGCCTGTGATTTAGGGAGGGTCCTGTCTTTGATGGCAGTATGTTCATTTGCCTGTCTTTAGTGGAAGGGGAGGGAGGCCCAGATTTGTTAAGAAAAATCCATAGATATTAACAATTAGAGACATAGTTTTAGGACTTAAAATGAAATGTTAGTGTAGGAAAAGCTGCCCGCTTAGGGGTGTGCCTGACCACGCCTGCGAGGGTGTGGTCAGGGTGACGTAGAGTGAGAGTTTCAGGTGGCTGGGTTTCACTTTCAGTTTCACTTTTCAGCTGGCTGTACAGACTGCTGCCACGATGGCTGGCTAGGTTGCTCTGTAAGTAAGGCTTTTACCTATTAAATACTGTTCTATTTCTACTTGACTCCGTATTGGTAATTTCCCACTTTATGTTAGGGTTAAGATGATGACATGGAAAACTAACTCTTTCTGAGACTTCCTATAAAACACAGCACATATGATTTTCCCCAAATACAGTCTCAGACAACTATGAACATACAGATAGAAGTGTAGACATTGTACGGTTTCCATAGAAATGTCCAGACTACAATGTGCATGCATAGAGAATGTGAATCTACAGAACTCCATGCTGCAGGTCTGTAGAATGGTTCAGGTACTTGATGAATAGTGGGTTTTCACAGGTTGGAGGGCAGTCCACCATACCATGAACACGCATGTGCAAACACGTATGTTCCTTTCTTAACTCAGTTGTTTAAAAGGCATGCAGAGGTAGGAAAGGCCTGTTTGCTGAAAGTCTACCTTTCATTGCTTTATAAAGTGACGATTGGATTTACAATTCTTTCTATAGCACAAGGAATCCTGGGAGATGGCAGACCCAGAGAACGGCTTCCTGTGCCTTAAAATCCCCCAGGCCCATAAGGAAGGCAGAAGATACCCTGAGCACCAATCCCAACCAGCCAGAAGTGTGCTCTCTTCCAACAGCCTGGCCCCGAAGACCCAGTCGGGATCTCTGTCCTGGAAGAGCACCAGGCAGGCAGCCCTGAAGATGGTGAGCGGGTCTATGGTAGAACTCTGATCAGGCCTGAAGAGCCCTTTCATGCCCTGGGCATATTTGCAGTTGAGGGAGCCAGAATGTTCCTGGCACCCAAACTCAGAACTCGGACATTTTCCTTCATTCCTCACCTCTGTGCCAGTCTTGCTCCCGTCCACTTAGCCCTTGGGCAGGGATCTAAGCTGAAACAGTGAGAATTCATCAGACCCTCCAAATAAGCCCTGGCGAGGAAGTCCGATGTGGGGTGTGGACAGCTTCCCCAGGTTCAACCTGCAGCCAGGCTGCCTCAGCAAATGAACAGGAAGCCACAAGACTGTGAAGATGCCACAGCGTTAGCGGCTGTTGCTTATGCTCCTGCTGTCTGCCTGCTTCCACAAGAACCCAAGGAGACGATGTCGATGAGCGCCCACGCTGTATGTATGGGGGACCTCCTGTATGGATGGAGGATGCCTCTTTTCTCAGCGGCTGTGGAGGGCCTTCACTACACAGCCAGTGACTGCCCCGCTGCCAGCCAGACAGAGCCCACTATGGAGGATGATCAGGTACGTACCTCTTTGCCAGCATCCTCAGTTTGACGCCTGAACATTTTGACCCTCCTTCTCACTCACTTGTCTCATCTAAGCTGGCAGAGTCCAGAGTCAGCATGTAAGTTTTCAAACAAAGAGCAGCTCTGGAAGCCTTGTATCTATCAGCCTAGTTTCTTTTATCTGTAGTCAGCTGTAGCTTGAACATATTACATAGAACACCTCCCCCCCAAAAAAAATCCTGTTTTAAATATATGCTACTCTGAATATGATGACATTTCTCACTATCATGCTCTACCCCACTTGGTAGTGACTCAATCATTTGTCCAGTGTGCCCATGGCACATACACCTGCTCCTTAGTAACTCAGAGCATCCCCAACATAACATCACAGTTTGTGCTCAAGCCCAACACACCATCACAGCCCTTGCTCGCTCACCTCATCATGTAGGCATCATGTGTAACATTATCACAAGATGAGGCGAGCGCAGGGTGTTTTTATAGCACATATCCACACGTCTTTGTTCACAATATATTGCTAGAATTGCTTTTTTTATTAGAAGTTGTTGTTAATCTCTTACTGTGCCCTACTTATAAATTAAGCCGCCATAGGAATGAACAGACAGAGGGAAGCCAGTGTAGCTAGATTTCAGTATTTCCCCAGGTCTCAGGCATCTACTGAGGGTCATCAAAGCACAAGAGGGAACCACAGCACTTGAATGACAGGCATGATCTGTTTTAGGTAAAGACAGGTGTCAGGATTCTTTTTAAAGTTTACAAGGAACTTTGTCCCTAGGGGTGAGGTGGCATCTCTGGCTTTCAATGGCACTAGAGATCCAGGTTTAGTCCATACCGCTGGAATTTTCTTTTAGTTTTGATCAGGAAGAATGTTTTATTCCCAAGCTGGCTTGGGGAAACATGGCTTTCTTGCTGGGGGATTGACTGGGAGTGGAATGTCACACATTTCCCAGCATGCTCCTTGCAGAACTGCTTATGTGGCTCTATTAAAGGTGTGAATGTGAAAATCGGGTTGCTTTCACTTAGGGCAGAGGTTTTCAAACTGTACTTACTGACTGGGAATATGGCATCACCTTGGAAGACATTAGGGATATACATTTTTGGATTCTTCTAGACAGATTGGGACATTTGAAGGCTCAGAGTGTTGCTCAGTAATATAGAAAGGGCTGGGCCCTGCGTTTGATCCCAGTACCAAGAACAGGAAAAAGAAAAAAGAAAAAAGAAAGAAAAGAAAGGTCCACGATGGCTGATGGAGCCTTGCTGGTGACACTACAGCACCTGCCTCTTCTGGAGGACTCTGCTTAAAATAAGGTCACAGGGATTTCTTGCCAATGGATTTTACTGTTATCATCAATCAACAAGCTAAAGTTCCTATGACTTTAAAATTTTGTTTTAATTTTAAAAGCATTCTATTTACTAGCCATACATACTCATTTAATGTGTTCTGATCAAACCTCCCCATCTCCTCCCTTCCGGTCACTTCCTGACCCCTCCATCACATTTCCTTCCCAACTTCAAGTTTACTCCCTCTGTTTTCTGGAACCCACCGATTCTGCTGGCAGCTGCCTGTATGTATGCATATGGGTCTTTGCATATGTATGCAAAGGTCAAAGACACACAGGTAGCCTCTCAAGGCTGCATCCTGGAAGAAACTGACTGTTTCCCAACAACCATCAACTTCCCATAGCATCTCATGCTGGTGTGGGTTGTCATGAGCCCCTCCTCCCTCCATGCTGGGCTTTGGGTCATTTTAAGCATGTACAGGTCCTGCTCATGTAGCCACAGCCACTGTGAGTTTGTGGAGAGCAACTCAGGCACGTTCCCTGCAGATGTTCACACCTTGTGGCTCTTACATGGTTTCCACTTCCTCCTCTGTGACGATGCCTGAGTCTTGGAGGTAGGAGGTGTTCTTCAGGAAGAGAATATCATCTGTAGTTTTTTCCAACCATAACAGTTCTGGGAGTCCGTTTTCATGGATCACCTCTAGGAGGTGCTGCTCTAAAGCTAAAACAGCAGCACTGGTCTAGATAGCCAATAGGTAGGAAGCCTGCAGTTCTATCTTCTACATATGTACACAACACACACACACACACACACACACACACACACACACACACAATACACACGCACTCACACGCACACACACAAACATACACACACACTCACACGCACACACACAAGCACAAAACCCGCAGCAGACAGACACACAGAAAACCATGCTGACAGGCAATTGTCAGATTCAGCGGTTCAGGGAAAATTCTCAGAGGGTGGGAAACAGCCTTGCAGTACTCAACATGTCCATAAGATGGCACCACAGTCCTTAGTTATTTTTAGCTTTTGGCTAAAATTTCACTGTTGAGATAGTCTAGCAGAATTGATTTCATTCAACTATGTCTTAAACAGTTAAAAATTTCAATTTTGGTTATTGAGACATATTGCCCATGTCAAAAACCGAACATAATAAAACGTACTAATTTCACTTCACTCTAGATCTAGGGTTGGGGGAGTGGTAGGGGAAGAATACCGTAATATCAGGGTATAGTCAAAGGTCGCTATGCCATTTCAACTGTCAATATTACTCTTGGTGGGAGGGCAATGCTTATGATTAAATCGTGAGCAATCAATGTGGCCATCCCTGACTAGCTTGGTGGTGAAATCAGGACTTGAGATGCAGATAGAATTCCAGAAGTTTCAAAGGGGGTCAGGAAAAACATTTTCCTGAGAAAGTCAGACAGGACCCTCCCTCATCCTGGGGCTTTGCAGCATTGCAGGCTGAACACTGCTGCTTCACTCTCTGCTTCTAAGCCCCGGGCAGCACGCTTGAAAGGGCTGCCAAATTTAGCAAGAGAAAACACAGACACTACTCAAATATGAATTTCAGATAAGCACATATTACCTTTACTTATCAGTAGTTGTGGCACTGGGGGTTTGGAGACAGGGTTTAGCTTGGTAGCCAGAGCTGGCCTTAAAGTGAAGATTCCCCCTAGCACCTTCCCTTCTCCCCATTGCCGAAGTTACAAGTGCATACTCCCCTAGTTGGGGACAGACTGTACGAAAATATGTAAATATCCTATAGGAGCGTCAACAAACAGCAGAAAACCATTTCACGGTTGCCTTGCAGTTCTAGCTTGCAGCTCTGGCCACATGATTCTGGGCCCACTGGGATCATATATGCAGGCAGAACCGAACAGGGATGGGGAAACGGCTTATGTCTCCAGGGGACTCTTGCACCTGTCTGAGAACTCAATGAAAGGGCTGGAAGGGAGAGGGAGTTTCTGCCCCACTGTCTATAAAAAGTCGTCATGGAGACACAGCCTGGTCAGAGGGACCAGACCATACACTTAAACCACTGCCCACGTGGTGGGTGATTCTCTGGCTGTTCTGGGCTTGTCAACCACTTGGGGCTTGTTCAGCTACAGACCAGGAGCCAGCAGACCAGGTCCCAGTGCCTGCGTTCTAACACGCCCTGGGTGTTGCTGACATGCCTTGCGCTCTGGAAGCAGGGTGTGGCCCAAAAGTGGATTATTGTAGAAGCTGCGAGTATCCCTAACTTCCCTGAAAATATCACCCCATAACCTCTTCCCTTTGGAATTGCAATTGTTTCTGAGCAAAACAAAGCAAAAACAGAACAAAATATCATTTTCCTAGGTGAGTTACGTTTAACTAGTAAAGACGTTGGAGCCTGTGTGTATTCTGGAGGCCCTCCCCTCCACCACATTTGATTAGGTATGGCCAGCTTAGCATTTACTAGGTGGGAAAAGCTCCAACCAGGTGCGATGAGACACCCCAGTGTCACTCCTTCCTGTATTTATGTTCTATTTTTTTTCCCTCTGGCACTTTGGGGGTGGGGGGCTGAAGAGTGGGAAAGCGCACTGGCTCCTGCAGTACACACCCATCATATTCATAAAATGAAAGCAAGGTCCATCCCCCATTCCCCAAGCGATATGCAGTCTTACCGGAGACTTCTTGATGTCCGAAACGGCGTAGTTCCCTTGTGACGTCCATCTGGCAGACTCGGTTAAAGACAGGCCCGTCCCATAAAGGTTGATGCTAAAACGCCCCTGGAACACATGGCCAGCACAAAAGACTTTCAATACACGCCACATACCAAACAAAGCAAAGCTGACACATTTAAAGGCACTTTGATAAGGACAGGGGTGTTATTAATTTTGATGACCACTAATTGTTGAAGGTATTTTGTTGTTCCATTGTCAGAGCCACACACTTTACATTCATGATTTCTAGGTAGGGACTATGTTTACAGATGGTGAAACCCAGGGCCGCAGGCGATTAACTCCCTCCAGAACACAGTAAGAGCCCGGGTCATCTCTTACTGACTTCTAAATCCCCCCTCACAGCTTCCTCCCGTCGGCCTCCGTAGCACAGCAACCCTGATGTTGCTCACAATTATCAGATTCCTTCACGACCAAAATGGCACAGTGTAATTTTTCTAACAAGATCTAGCTGCCAAAGTTTCCTGGGTTTCCAGTTCCCTGGGGCGAAGAGCAAGCACAGTGTGTACCAAGCACCGCTGGGTGTGAGTTCAAAGCAGAGGCGCGTTTCCCAGAGCAGCCAGAAGAGGGCGCGCTTGGCTTGCTGAAGAAGCTCCCAGCCCAACCCTCTCTACCCACTTCCCCCAGCCCTACTCAGGGGACAGATTCCCAAATGCTGCCAGGGTGTGTGGCCGGGGCGCTTTGATATTTATCTCTAAGGAACCATTTCAGTGTATCGGTCTCTCTTCTCTTTCAAAACCGTCTTCATCACTGGCACTTTCCGATCTCAGTACTGTTATGTCCCAAAACTGAGAACCCGCAGCTTTATCAAACGTTAAAGCAAAAGAGGTGCCACTCACAACCAAACCCTGGCATGAATGAGTTAACTCCTTCAGCAGTGATTAGATCCCAGAGAGATATCCCAGCCTCTCAAGATCTCCCTGGGTCCACGTATAAAATCGAAGGTAATGAACATACCTCCCTCATTGACTCTAGTGAGGAATAAATG